AGAATGTTTTATTTTTCACAACGTTTATCAAATGTTGCAAAAACATTTGAAACTTTTTCCTTTTTGCAACGTTTGTTACATGTTGAGAAATGCGAGATTCGACCCAACTACACCTAGAGGGGGTGATTAGGTGTAAATGAGGAATTATCAATCTAATTAACTAGTAACATGTCACAAGTTAATTATGTTTAGGTGATTAGTCAAACAATCCAATTTATCCTATCTTTGAATACCACAATTATATCACGACAATAAATAAAGCAATAAACAATACCAGAATTGTTCACGGAGAAACCCAAAGTGGGAAAAACTCCGGGCGCTTTGCCAGTCAAAGATCTATTATAAACTGATAATACACTTACAGACCACCAGCAAAGTTGACAACACAAACTTTCTGATCTCCTGTCTGAAGTAAGAAGCAGCCCTCTTCGAATGTGCACATGAACACCAAATCCGGCTCTTCTTTGTAAAGCAGTCATCCTGGAATGAGCATACGAACTCCAATCCTAACTCTTTACGCAATTTATCTCCTGTAGATCTTCCCCAAGAACTCCTCGTTCTTCAAACTCTTCCTTCATCTTTGATGCAGCACAATTGACGACACAATCTTGTAGCAGACCCAAGCGAAGAAATCAATTTAGTATTTGATTTGATGGTTTTGATGTTTTCTATGAAAGAAGCACATATAAATTGAAGGATTGAACTTTTGATATGATGTAAGATGTATTCTCTATTGAATAGAATGTGTTCAATCTTTTTCTCGTATGAAGTGCGGCGCTTCAATATATATTTTGAACCAAATAGGTTGTATGAGCCGACTAAAAGTCTCAAAAATAGAAAATTAGGACTGACCGAATAATACGTTGCTCGAGCGATAAGGCTGTTTCGCTCAAGCGAAGGGTCTGTCGCTCGAGCAACGTGGGGCGAAGGTCGAGTGACGTAGTCTCNGAGCAACGTGGGGCGAAGGTCGAGTGACGTAGTCTCTGTTCCATCTGCTCGAGCAGCACTCCGACGAGCAGCTAGCTAAAAATCGACGTTAATCCTTCTTACTCTAAACATGGAATCCCGAACCCTAAGTTAATCTATCAACTATGAAACTTTATAATTCAGTCCCTAAACTTATATAATTATTCAAGTTGATCAATTTGTTCACAAAATCCTCAATACAAAATATAAACCTAACACATGTTGTGACAAGTAATCCACAACCTACCCCAAAATTAACCCGGCCTAAAAAACAGAACAAAACAGAACCTACTTCTCTTGCATTTTTCATCAGAGCCCTAAGGAAGCTTCCAAAAATCGCGCCACCACCCTACAAATCACAACTTTCTTCTCCGATTGCCGCAAGGTATCGCCACCAGCGATGATGAAGAGCACAAGGTATCCACGCTACATATTTTTTCGGGTCATACGCAGGTGAGCTACATCCCTCTCGCAGATTTCAGACCTCTCTCAGTATCCTCAAATCAAACAACTCTTTGGCCTTTTGTTTTCCTCATGGATGCTACATATTACGTTTGGGTTTTTAATATATTGAAGGAGGGAAATTGAGATTATGTTTGTCTTTTATTTATCTTTAGCTTTACTTGCTAGCAAGCCACCAAGGTTGAATTTCTTGGATTTTGGGTTTATTAGTTGAAATTGGTGTTTCTACCAAGCTTTTGTTCTAGTTTTCTTGGTGGGTTTGTTCTAAAATTAGTGGTATTGAACTGCATGAGACAATTTGAGTTGGGGAAATAAAAGATGGGGAAGATGAGAGAAGCACTGGAGCTAAAAATGAGTTGGGATTTAGGGTTTGAGATTTTTGGGGTTGCAAGGGTTAGCATTTTCAGTATTTAGTTTTAGTTTTGCAAAGAATCCAATTGATTCTGAAGTCGTTGCTCAGGCATACGCACATGGGCCTTTGGTTTATTCTGATTATCCTATGTTTTTAAACAAATGCTATGGCTCGGCCTCTTAATCTTAATTGTAACATGCAAGCTAACAAATATTTAGAATTTAGTACAATTTTTTAATGTTATTATACTTAATCACTTCAATTATGGAAAAATATATCTGCCGTGTTATCACAGGATTTGCTGGAATATAATGAGCCACACTACGCAGGCATCTTTGCAATTGAACTACTCTTTGGTCTTGCAGTATGATATTTATATACAGTATAAATTTTTTAATGGAGATATAAGATGCATCATATTTGTTGTAATTTCTTCTGGGTAAACATATGACTAGTTGAGTAATTCAGTTATCAGTATTTAAGAAATACAGTTTGCTCTGTAGCGGCAAGACTCCAGCTTTTTGGTTGCTACATGCTTTATGGAGTTGCAGGATTTTCTCAAATCTCTTGGATGGAAATGCTATACAAGACATGCAGTGGAAAGAATGTTGGAGGGGCTGGATATGTGGAAAAAAGAAATAGTGCATTTTCTTCACTGGTAAATGGCATAGCAAATGCTAGTGGATTTTACACAACAAATTATGAGTCTGTTTACATATTGGGACTGTGTGAAGGTGATGTGGGCTCTTCTGACTGTGGAGTGTGAAAAATGCTCTTCAGATAGCTCAGGTTGAATGTGGGAGTTCCATTTCTGGTCAAATCTATCTTCACAAGTGCTTTATCAGTTATAGCTATTATCAAAATGGGGTTCCTAGAAGATCATCGTCTTCATCATAAACCTCTCCTTCTCCATCAGGTATGATTTTATCTTTCATTCTTTAATTCTCTTTATTTATTTCTGTACCAATAATATTATGATCTAGCTAAATTAGCATTATGCTTGGGACTCATAATTCTACCAGCAAAATGAGGTTTTTGTCTAACTTTGATTTCTTAGCTGTCTCCCTTTAATATATGTTGTAACAATAAATAATATATGATGTACACGGTTTGCCACTTTGAATAAGATGTTTGTCTAGCTTTGGTTCTAGATTTCATATTAGTAGTCTTAAGGGTGTTTAGATTATATTAAGGGGAAATTAGGCCCTGCTCTGCTTTTGAGATTATAGATTGGAAAATCTGCTATTGTTTCATACTGATTCACTGTACTAACGCTGCAACTGTTTAGGTATATGAAGATCTTGTAATGTGTTTGTTCTGATACT